TTAAGAAAATTACATTTTTTAAAAATTTTAATTTGTTAAGTAAGTCAAACCCAATTGTATAAAGGATTTCAAAGCATAAAACACTTCAAACAATAAATTTCTATTGAAATCCATAATTTACTCAAAGGATAAGTGTATCACTCAAGTGTTTCTGTAGCTTAGGTGTTTCTCGTAAATTACTAATCTGCCACATATAACCATGAATTTCAAATATTCTCAATATCAATTATTACATTCATATAAAAATAAATTAAAATATTTTTAAAATGATATAGTGGAAGTGATAAGAAAACGTGAAAATAAATTTGGATTCCAGCTTATATTTTCAAGTCAAAGATATTTTATTTTTTTTTTAATGTGACAATCAGGGTCATGACAAAGAAAAATAAAAAATGACAAATCAGAAATAAAAAAGAGAAAAATAAAAATTGAATAAGTCTATCAAGTTTTTAAAAAACTTGAAAAACTTTAGAAAAATACAATTTTTTCAATCAGATTAGAACTCATGAGTCTAATTAAACATGGTGAAAATATTAACACCCTTTACATTCATAAACTCTAAATTGTGTAAAAATTAAAATTTTATTTCATTCTTAAATTTAATATTTTGTTTATTAAAAATGGAAGAAAATAGATTTTAAAATAATTAAACTCGACAAGTTTTGATTCTTATTCTTTCGTATTCTCTAGTACAATAGAAAAATCAAAGTTACATAGCTCTAATAAATAAATAAATAAAATTCTTTTTTTATTAAATATATAAAATTGAAAGGAAAAAAAATTGTTAAAAGGTTGAAAAGAAGAAATATATGAAATCTTTTGAAGGATATATTAAAATAGGAGTAATCCTTTTAAAATAATTAAAGCAATTTAGAGAAAAGTATTTTAATTTTTAGCTTTTACTAAAAATAAATTATGAAAATTTCAATTTTATGATTATATAATATGAATAATATAAAGTAATTTATTCATTACTAGGATTTAAATTTTATTTTGATTATTAAAATAGGACAATTTAAAAAATATATATAAATTGGTATATATAAATTAGATATTAGATAATGTAGCTAAATTGGTATCCTACGCTTTTATAATATGTGAATGATAAAGTAATTTATATATCAAAATTATACAATTGTATAAAAAATATTTATTTATTTTAAAAATAAAACATTAAAAGTTTTAATTAAAGATATCCATTTGAATTTTGACTTTAGAAATAAAGTTTTTTTATTTCTTTTATTATAAAATTAAGAAAAGCTTGTATGTGTCTAACTTTTTAAAATTTAAAGAATAGAATAATATATACATCATAATTATTAATCATTTTGTGAAAATAAAAAATAATTATTTTTTAATATGAAAATATAAAAGTATCATTTTAAAATATAAAGAATTTAAATATTTGAAGTACTAAATAGTATAGCTAGATTAGTACTCTTATGATTTTATAGAGTGTCAATGAGAGAGTAATTTATACATCACTGTTATAAACAATAAATTCAAGTAAATTAAATAGAACAATTTATAATTAAAGCTATTCAGTTTGAAATTTGACTTTAAAAGTAAAACTTGTTTCCTTTATTTTGGTCTAAAAATACATAAAAAGTTTACGTTTAGTAATATTATAATATCTGAATGATAAAGTAATCTTTACATCACTATTTTAAAAAAAAAATTCTTTTTTAAAAATAAATTTTATTTTTAAAAATAAATTTTATTTTTAAAAATAAATTTTATTTTTAAAAAGAAAAAAATATCTATTTTAAAATTAAGATGTAAGATAATTCACATGCACAAAGTAATAGATAGTGTAACTAAATTAATACACTTATAATTTTATAATTGTCAAATGATAGAATAATTCATATATCGTTGTTACAAATTATTGCGTAAATTTAAAAAATTATAATTAAATATTTATTTATTTACTTTTAAAATACAGCCATAAAAAAGTTTACAATTTAAACAATTTTATTTAACTTTAATAAAAATATTTATTTATTTTACCACTATTATTAATTTTTTTAAGTGAGCTAAACTTTAGTATTTGGGTTTTCTTTTAAAGTAATAAATATTTTTATTTTTAATATTAAATTTGATAATCAAAACATAAGTTTTTTTATTTTTATTTTTTATTTTTAGAAGTAATCTAAAAAAAGAAAAGAAATATCACTAATTGATTTCATTACTTATGTCATATATGAAATGAGCAAAAAAGTGATGAATAATTATTATATTCATAACAAATACATGACAATTTAAATGTTGTAATAATATGTTTTGTAATAATATAAATAATTTGATTTTAGTAAAATAATATTTTCTTTAATAATATATTAAATGATAGTGAAATATTTAATTTTGTTAAGTACAGTTCTTGAAAGTAGCTTGCTGCTAGGTTGGATAGTTAGAAAGATCAATTATACATGTAAATTATATTGATAATCCTTTAATATATATTGTTAATTTCTTCTAAAATTGTAACGAATTATAATATTTTTATACAATAAATTTATCTTTAATAAAATGTTGATATTTAATAAAAAATAATAATAAAAATTAAAAAGATCATTATGATAACTTCATCACTTTTAACAGCAGTTTTTAATAAATTTAATATTTTATCATAATTGATAAAAATAATATTTTATTCTTTTAACGTTAACCATTCATTTGATTCATTAAGCGCTATTTATCTCATGTAACTAACTCTGCAAGTACAATAATCTCGTTTCCAACCGGTTAATAACTAGCTGATTTCATTCAAGGAATTCCATATGCATTAAAAAGCTATTACAATTATACATAGGAAGAATTTTCACTTAGTAATGTAAGTTAAAAATTCTTATACTGAGTTATTATATTACAATATGATAGATTTAAAAATATTATATATAAATTAAATAAAAAATTTAAATTAAATATAACATTTATATTAATATAAAAAAAATTTCTTTTATATATATAGATTAAAATCTTCTTAGACCTGATGTAAATTTAAAAAATTTTACACTCAGAATTTTTTATTTAACTTAAATTTAATAAATTATAATTTATTATTTTACTGGCCATTAAATTTAAGTTAAATAAAAAACTCATAATATAAAAAATTATAAACTTAAAATAATATAAGAAAATATTTATATATATATATATATATAACACTTCAATTTGCAACTGTATCCCATGAATTCAAAATGTGAACTGAAATATAGTTCCATTCCAATTTCTGACTTTCTAAGTAATAATTACAAAGGCCTGTTTACAGATTTAATTAGAAACCCTCCAATATCATCGGAGTTGGGTTACGTGAAAAATATTAGTTTTTCTATTAATTAGAAAAAAATATGTAAATTTTTTATTAAAAATTATAATATTTAATAATATTAATATATTTAATTATATTAATTTTTAAATTTTTAATTAAAAATTTATATATATATATATATATATATACCCATATATATAAGTTTCTATGCTGTGTAATATTAAAAAAAAATTGTTCATAAAATCCTGAATTATAACTTAAATTTTTATTTAAATAGTGTCTCTAATAAAATTATCATATAAATAATGCATGTAAAAGACCAATAAATCCTAAATCAGCGCTCCTTTTAAGTTTAATAATACAATTACAAGGAATATCTATTATTATATTTTCCATGATGAAAGTTTTATAAGTCTTTATGTTTAAAGAACTTTTATTTAAAATAGTTATTGTTAATATAATTATAAAAAAGGTATTTTAAACAAAATTATTCAAATTAAAATAATAATAATAAATACTTAAAATCAACAATAAACCCCTCAACCATCCATAAATAAATAATTAGAAAAAAAACAAATACATTTTCAAAGTTCATATACAAGCTCTCTTCTGAGCGTGGGATAAATTGCATAGCTCGTGTACAAAAGGTCTATTATCAAAAGACCAAAATCTACAACTATAACCATTAACTAGAAAAACCGATAATTAAAATTTCAAATAGACACATAATTTTCCAGAAAATAATATATATTATCATTATTTTAAAAATAAACTGGGTCTTATTATTGTGTACCTTAAAAACATTAAATAAATACTAATTAATACACTAAATATTAATTAAAAACAAAAACAAAAACAAAAAAAATATATTTAAATATTATTAATATTCTCTTAATAATTAATACACTTTTTCTTACTACTTTAAGCAATTTCACCTTGCAGAACTGAAAGAAATTTCATCAGTATGCATCAAACTGTTGGGATACTGAAAATCCTCACCCTGGAAACTGGCCTTTTCGTTTTCGATCAATGAGCAGCTTTAGTGCTTCACTTTCCCCAATGAGACTCTCTCGAATACTGCCATTTTTTGCTAGGGTTTATCTACCTAGCATACTTTACAATAAATTTAAAAATCCACAGTCCAATCCCTACCATTACCCAACAAAACCCAAGATGAAAACGACAGCTCAACCCAGTAATACTCAATCCAGACTAGGATGTTCTCACAACGATACTAAGAATAAACATACACACAAAGCATGAAGCAGAAAACAAAGTGTGATACAATGGACACCAACTTTTCTAGTTCCAAGGTCAACCCAATAGCTATCATTATCTTGCAATTGAAAACAAGGAATTCACTTTACTATGCGTATGTCGTTCTCAAGAACCACATTCCCATTTTTCAGAATAGATACATTAAACCAAACAATAACAAAAGAAAAGACAGCAAGTAAAACAATATGCACTGACAAGGGCAACGATTACATAATTAAACCAGATTTCAGAATTAAACCATAGTGCGGAGCAGAATTACAGAGTGAGCTTGAACCTAGTTAAACCTTCTAACAATCACAAAACCCTAAGAACCATGTTCCAAATGGAAAAGAGCAAATCAACATTAGCTGAACTTATAGTCAAGATAAACATATTAAAACAAGAAACTTGGAGACAAGACTTGCCAACTTTTTTTCTTCTCAGGCTAGTTAGCTAGCCACATCGCATGAAGTCAAGCATTTTGCATTCTAGCTGCAAGAGAATTGAAAAACTCTGGATACTGAAGAACATCTTCCATGAAGGAACATTCTGCAATATGATTCATCATAAACTTCTCATCACTTCCCATGGACATAGCCTGTTGTATGGTGTTAAACCCGTTATAATTTTCAAATTGTTGCATGGGAGGATCATAAGAAATACCATAAGATTCAATTTTGGGAACCCTCGTCCTCTGATCATCGTAAAACCGAGTGGCAGAGACCACCATGTGATCAGAAATTGGTTGAGGAAGCGACTCATGAACGGACAAAGTCTCTGTTTTCAGCGTAGTCTCACAATTCCTAGGCCTTGACTTAGGCAAAAACTTATGAACTATCTCTTCCAACAAGCCAGAATCCGAAGACTCTCTGGGAAAGAACCCAGAGTCATCTTCAATGGTGTCAAGCACTTCCGTTTTATGATTGGCACCAACAACACCACTTATATTATTACCATTGCCAACACAGCAACCTTGGAAACAGGCTGACACAGGTAATAACAAAGACGAAGTGGAAGACGAGGAGTTAAAAGAACCATTCGAAGCCTTGTTGTGAAACTGTGGAACCGGAGAAGAAGAAACCAAACAGGAGTTCGAAGAAGAGTTGAGGAAGTCACGAAAGAAATGCATGTTGAGGGCAGAAGCATTGTTGTTCTGCGTCGGTGACGAGAAGTCACCACCCAAGTTGGGATTATTGGGTCCGAACCTGCTGACGTGGCAGTTCTGAGACTGCTTCGGAATATGGAAGGGTTGGAAAAGGTGTGCTTCGGTGGTGTCAGGGTAAACGAAATTGGTTCGTGCTTTGACGCCGCGCATGGCTCGAGCGGCGCAGTCGTAGGCGCAAGCAGCTTCCTCAGCAGTGTCGAATGTGCCGAGCCAGCGCCTCTCCTTCGACTGCGGGTCTCTTATTTCGGCGGCGTAACGGCCCCATGGACGGCGCCGGACGCCGCGGTACCTCATGGCGCCGCCAGCGTTGGCGGTTTCGCGCAACGACTTCCTGGTGGCGCACTTCTTGTGGTGGTTGTCAGAGGTTGAGTCGTGCGTGTCAGGTTCTTGAGTAGGGGCCATTCCGTTCAGACGACGCAGTGCTTCTTCCATGAGATGATGTTTTGGTGTTATTGGGGAAGCGATTGCTGAATGGAAGCGTATGTTACTTTGCGCTATGAGTTCCGACTTGGAAGTACCGAAGGAGCAGTGCCTCTGGGTGCCTTGTCTTTATTTATACTATATTTTATCTGACATTGACTAGCTACTGGTTAAAATATTAAAATATAAAGGATTATATATATAATTTTAATTTTCATAAGAATTAAAGCTACGTATTTTCTAATAAATATAGCGAATACAATTTAAATAAAAACTATACTTAAAAGATATATTATATTTAAGGGACTAAAATGATATTTAAGTTTTTTAACTTTTAGTTTTTATAAAATGTATCTCATTTATAAGTAGTATTAATTACTGTAATTTATTATTTGAAATAAATTGTCAACTTAATAAAATTTTTATTTAATTTTATTTATATATTGTAGACATAAAAATCTATTTTTAATTAATAAACAATGTGAATAGTATTAAATAAGAGTACCTAAATTTTTTCTATACTGCTGCACGGTACCACTTTATTAAATGATTTTAATGTTGTAAGAAAACAAATATTATATTATTTTTTTATTTTAATATATATTTTGCCATACTTTGGGTCATTAATGGAGTATTTATCATGGTTTTTTAAAAAAGGTGAGAGTGCCCTTGTTACAAAATCATTTAATAATAAAGTATTTATTGCGTTAAAATATACAAATTAAAAAAATTTAAGTTGTTAAAACAAAGTCTAATAAGATACATTAAATGCTATTTAACAAATACTTTTCTAAACTTTTATTGATAACTTCATACTTTATTTTAGTCGTACATGTAAGAATTTGATCACTGTATCATTTGTTGACTTTTAAATTACAAGTCTTATTAATTAATGTCTTAAAATGTAGACAAAAAATTATAAACAAAAAATTAATCCAAATTACAATAAAATATATCAATAAGATTTTCTATATTTTTTAATTTTTAATTGATATCTTAATATTTTTCTTATTATAATAAATATTACTTATATTTTTAAAATTGTTTTGCACTTTAAAGGACATAGACTCGTTAATATTATTTATTCTTTTATTCTCAATAGATGCTTCTAGAGCACTCTTAATTAAGCCAAGATTATATTCCACTTATTTGCAATTTTTATTTTCTTCATTGAGACATATGTAGTTTTAATTAGAACCTCAAAATAAATTACAACTTCTATGTTATTATTAGGAACATTATGTTATCAATTACATAAATTTTAAAAGCTGAAATAAAAAGATTTAAAATTTAAAAGCTGAAATAAAAATAAATTTATCAAACAAGTTTTCTTATTTTCTCATCTTAAAAACAGTTTTAAAAATTAAATTATCAAACAGATTTATTTTTATTCTCTTCTTAAAAACAATTTTATAAAATTATTTTAAAATGTAATTTTTAAAAACCGAAAAGTAAAACTAAATCAAACAAGTCCTTAATTTTTTTAATTGTGACAAGAATTGGATCTCTAATTTTATTTTTTTAAAAACTAAAATAAACTTGTTTAAGCAAATTTTAAAAAAATAATAAAATATTTTTAAAAAAATCTGTTTAAATAAATTTAGAAATTCCTTAAACAAAATTTTCTAAATTACTCACCTTCTCCAGTAACTATCTTACTTTATTTAAGCAACTAACTTCCAAAAACAACAAAAGAATAGAGTTTAGGAAGGTTAAAGTTGGGAGGGGAGTGTTTGGGATGGGTAGGAGGCCTGTGGGTTGTGGGCGGAGGAGGAAGGGTTGATGAGCTGGAAGTGAAGGCTGAGTGTGAGTAAGTGGAAAAAGTGAGTGATTTTAGAAAAATTATTTAAGTAAATTTTAAATTCGTTTAAGTGATATTTTTTAAAAAAAAATTTGTCATTTTTTAAATTTATTTAAATAAATCTATTTTTACTTAATTAAGAATAGAACTAGAGGTTTAATTTTTGCTATGGTAAAAGAGAATCTAGATCCAAAATAAAGTTGTATATATTTTTACTGTGAGTTTTAGAATTTTTTTCATATTTTAAATTTACAAAATTAATAATAGAGGTTTAATATTATCAATCGTATTAAAACTTACAAAAAAAATAATGAAATTATTTATATCACTTATCTGAGTTTATTGTCACATTTATTTAAATTTTTTTATTATTCATGTGATTATAAGAAAAAAAATATTATAAACACAGATTACTTCAACAAAAATAATGATAAATACTTAAAAATAACAATAAATATACTAAAAAATAACATTTTCCTAAGATTATTTGTAAAGCTACACTCGATTTGTCTCAATTAATAAAAATATGTATGACAAATATTAAGAAAAAAAAGAAGAAGCAAGACCCATATTCTGCATTCAACCACGACTCTCCACTTTAAATAACAGTTCTCTACTCATAATTATTCAAAATAAATGGTTTAAACAATACTCGTTATTATGTGTTCTAAGAAACTTGTTTGATATTGAAATTGGCTATAGTGTATATACCTTGTCACATCGGATGTAATTGAGATAGATGACCTTACTACAAATTTGTATAGTAGAGGATTTGACACAGTAAAATTGAATTACAGAAAGGCCACATTTTATGTAATAAGGTTCATGCTATCTTAGAGCATATGCCGCTATTTAATCAGCAAATTATTTAAAATAATCTTACTTATACATCTTAGTTTTGAAATTTAAAAAGGAAAATAAAAAATAAAAACTATGGTAAATGATAATATAAAAGAAGAAAAGAAATCAAAATAAGATTAAAAAAATAAAATAATATACAATATATAATAATAATTATTAAATCATTTAAGTTATGTGTAATAAAATAACAGAAAATTATACATATAACAGAAAGTTTATAACTCTATAAGTAACTTAAAAAATTAATTTATTCTACAAATTAGTTATATATTTGATTGATTTATATTAAATGACTTAAAATGACATATGATTTAAATTAGATATAATTTGTTTTGAAACATTTTATTAATAAAAATATTATTATTAATTTAAACAATAACTTAAGTTTATTTTTAAAATTATTAATTTTAACATATTATATGAATAAAAGTTACATAAATTGATTTGAATAATTTATTTTTATAATTTAATTTTTAATTTTAAAAATATTATTTATTTACTTAATTTTTTATTTAATAAAATATATTTATACTTATTAATGAAAAATAAGAAAATAAAAAAAGAACAAAGAAATAAAATTATGGCATTGTAGTTTTAATTATACAAAAAAATAAATTGTTTTTTATATAAATAATAAAAATATTGATAGCTAATTTTTGAAAACTAAACCTTTTTTTAATATTCTTAAAAAAATTAAATTTCAAAATCAATGAAATTATTTTTATTTTATATGTAGTAAATAATTCTATAAATTTATTCTCCAATAAATTTATAAATAAGGTACAAACTAACTGTAGGAAAGATAACCTTAGTATACTATCTATTTTACAGCTGACGATCCAAACTTTCTTCGAGCAAAGGACCCGGGAAACTGATTGATCAGGTCCAACGCAACGCTCAACTCAATACACAAAACAAAAGGAACTGACAAATTTAGTGGTATAATTGTTTTACACTTCGTTTTGCTGCATTATTCGTTTAATTATCGATGGCATTATTTGCATCAAATTCTTATCTTAATATGTCTCTTTAGCTTCAAAACTTATCAATATAAATGCGTTTAAGTAAAAATCTTGCATTCGTTCATTTTCTATAAATACAAAACAAATTTTATAACATCAAATAAATATTTATGTATAAAAATTGTTTTAAATAAATGTTTAAATATAATAAATTCATTTAAAACTTATACCAATGTTTTGAGACATTAAAATTTGTGCAACTTTTGAAGAAAAAGATAAATTCAAAACTTTATCAGAGTATCTATCTGAAAAAACTTAATTCCACGAAAATGAAACAGACGTAAAATTTTAAATAATATAATAATTTTTAATAAAAATTACAAATTTTAATATAATTATTTACAATTAATATTACTAAATGTTATAACTTTTAATAAAAATATTATATATAATTTTATTTTATAAATTATTATACATATTAAAAAAATTAATAATATAAACTATTTGAGGCACGTTAAAATAATATTAAATGCTTTTATTAAATATTTTAAGTTATTGTAAAAATAAATATGAAATATTTTTATAATTTTAAACACACATTAAAAAAATTACAATAAAAATTAAAAAACAAATAAAATAGTGTCAATTTTCAAACAGTAATTCATCTTCATGTTTAATTAAGTAACGTGATTATGCCTCATTAGTGATTCTGCTTTTATTTTAGAGGTAATTACTGTAGAAGGTAGGGCAATACTATAGCTTACTACTACAAGTTTCATGAGCAACCCTGCACACTGTGCATGCATGGCATGATGATAATTTCTTCTGTCTGTCCTGTATCCACAGAGTTCCATGAAGCTGGCATGGACATAGCTTTCTTAGATCTGACTTTTCAAAACTTTATACCTGATGAACTTTATGCTTCTTCAGAGTGTTTCCAGACAAACTATGCAGCTATATATGCTCCTACGACTTCAAAGACTTTTTCATGTCCTATGACATGCCCTGCCAAGTCTAATTAACATTTGCCCTGTTAAGTATCCTATACACACACACACACACACACACACACACACAACATTTGCCCTGTTAAGTATCCTATACACACACACACACACAACTAATTGAAGTATGACAGATTAATAAACAGAAAAACATTAATGATGAGGATTCTTACATCGTAGATCATTGATTATAAAAAAATTAAAAACTTAACATTAGTTTATGCTGAGTTAAGGTAACTAATAATATTTAATTAAAAATATTTATTATATTTTTATTATTTTAATATAATTAAAAAAATTTGGATAAAATTTTATTATTTTTAAATGTTAAACTCGATAAAATTTTATTATTTTTAAATGTTAAACACAGTTTGAAGATTAAGG